GAAATTGATGATTTGTCTTAGTGGCAAGAGAAGAGAGCCCTGCTGTCCTAAACCAGCCATTGGGGAACAGCCTCGAAGGGAGCTGGGAGGACACAAAAAAGGCACAGCTGCAAATCGGACAAGTTAAGGGTTCTAAATATTGCTATTTGCTGTTCTTGTTGCACAAATGCATTGCATTTCAGAGCCTGTGATTCGCTGGGCCTCCAGGAGCATTGTGTGGAGCTGCACCTTTAATAGGTATCACCTGCCTGGGGGCAACGTGTGAGTCCTGCTTTTCCCCAGGACAGGAAACCGATCTTCAGATCCTGACACTGTGCAGCAATAAAAGGGCACTGAAACGAGTGGAGGGTTTACAGTAATACCAAGCCCAATGCACTTATCCGACGTGCCTCCCTTTTTATCAGAATCAAAGATATTCCGAGTCGGGTTAGTATGTCTGGGCCAATACAGCCCCAAAACGTATGGATGCAGAAATTATTTTTATGAGGATCATGATTCAGATCCAATTGTGTCATTTGCATGCTGTTTTTCTGCAAAAGCTGGGCAGGGCATTTTGTATAGGAGACAGTGTTATGAAAGACGGGAAGTGCAGAGGTAAGGCCTTTACCCCCATAAAGAAGCAGCTTGGCATCGGTTAACCACCAGCAGGAGTCCAGGCACAATGTTGGGCACCTGACGCTGCTCCGCGCCAGGCAGCCTTGTCAATCAGTGGACGGAGCCAAGGAGCTCACTGCCCTCATGGAGCTTGCATTCATTCCAGCACCAGCGAGAGTCCTTCAGCTCTAGCGTCCAAGCTACTGGATTGTCAGTACAGCCGACCCTCCAATAACGGTGTTTTGTTATAATGTTGATGAGGTGCAGTAGGAACGTAGCTCTTGGGTGTATCAATTAGCCCATCCTGTAAATTGGTTTTGTTATATGGTATGTCATTCGCATTACAGCCGCAGAATCTATTGAGGATGTGAAGTGAGGACTTATTGCACACCAGGGAAGTTCATGGCAGCCTTGTCCAGAAGGAGATTAACAAATAGAGGAAGGAAGAGGGAGGGAGGAGGGAAGGACAGGAGGGGGAAGGGAAAAGCAGGGAAGAGGGGATTGAGGATAAGAAGGAAGAAAGAGGAAGGACGTGCTCATTAGTGGTGATGACTAACCAGAGACCAGCAGGCCCCTGGGCCAGTCCTCGACTGGCAACAGGAGAGAGAGAGCTGAGCTCGTCCATCCGGGAGTCTCACACAGTTTCTCCAGGAGGCTTTTGCTCCAATGCATGAGCTATGGAACCACCTTATTTTACCTAAGGGGAGCTGGGCCCCCAGGAAAGCAATATTTACACCAGGAGCTGATGTGTGGTCTTCCCTGTGTTCCTCTAACACAGTGGTTCTCAACCTTCCTAATGCCGCGACCCTTTAATACAGTTCCTCATGTTGTGGTGACCCCCAACCATAAAATTATTTTCGTTGCTACTTCATAACTATAATTTTGCTACTGGTATGAATTGTAATGTAAATATCTGATATGCAGGATGTAATTTCATTGTTACAAATTGAACATAATTAAAGCATAGTGATTAATCACAAAAACAATATGTAATTATATATGTGCTTTCTGATGGTCTTAGGCGACCCCTGTGAAAGGGTCGTTCGACCCCCAAAGGGGTTGCGACCCACAGGTTGAGAACCGCTGCTCTAACAAAATTAGAACCCCTCACATCTGGCCTGTGTAGAGAAGCCCAAAGAGCCTTGTGTTAAGGCCCATCAGTAACTTATCCTGCATCGGGAAGGCCATTTTCTCTCTGTGGGAAACGGGGTGCAGGTGGAACCCTGGCTCTGCACTTTTAGCAGCCTGTGCCCCCCTCGCTCTGCTGCCCAGCTTCCGTTTCATGTTATCTCCCAACATCTAAATCCTGCAAGAATTACTGTAAAACCTGCTTGTCGCTGAGAGGGATCTTGCCTCGCTCGCTCGGCGCTGCAGCCGGCGATAATGAATGGGTCAGCATAATTACCGTGTTTTCTCACACTGGCAGCCAGCTGCTCTGCCAGATTGTGAATCTTTCATTTTCTTTATTTCAAAATGCAGGGCGTTCCTATGAAAACTTAATGTTTGAACTGTGGGGAGATGGAGTTGGAGTCAAAGCCCTGCTCCCTCATTTTCTCCCCGGTCCTGAAGCAAACACCTCGTATGTCATTAGTTCTGGGCTTTTATGATATTAGGATTTACCGCTTTCCCCGTTAAGACCAACACCTCTCTACAATTATTTAAAACCAGCACCAGGAGACGTGGGTGCTAGGGGCTGGCAGGCTGAGAGTTAAGTACAGCGGCAGGATTTGTTTTGAATAATAAAACAGGGTGCAGCCCAGCCGTGTGGCTCAGTGGTTGAACGGCGACCTATGAACTAGGAGGTCACGTTTGGATTCCTAGTCAGGGCACATGCCCGGGTTGTGGGCTCCATCCCCAGTGTGGGGCGTGCAGGAGGCAGCCGATCAATGATTCTCTCTCATCATTGATGTTTCTATCTTTCCTCCTCCCTTCCTCTCTGAAATCAATTAAAAAATATATTTAAAAACAGTTACAAATAACTGGTATGGTCTCAGACACAAATAGAAAGATGAATCATTCTGACGTGGTGCAGCCGTCCTAGCATTTTACCGTCCTCGTGAAAGATATGGTACAATCCAGGAAACCGGCCTGCTGCTCACTCACCCTTCAGGAACACACACAGAATTCCAAATGACAGCCAGTCAGTCTTCATCTCAGGTTCAAGGATCAGAGTCCAATTCATGCAGGTCCATGAGGCGGTATGGAATTGGGAGTGACTTCTGTGGGAGCCCTCTCCTCTCCCTACCCCCTGGCACCCACCATGCAGCTACAAACGTACTGTCCGAGGGCAGAGAGCAATGGGATGAGATGGGGTGGAGTGCGTGTACGATTAAGTGTGACAGTTGGAAGAGGAAAGCCCCTGTTGGCAGTTTGGACATAGGATAGAGACCACTTTAGCACAACAGGAAATACAACACCCCGGGAGCAGTTAGGTGTTTCATAAAATAGAGTTCCAGGAAGAGTGAAGTGTGGGTGTGTTAAGGAAGTAAAAGAGCTTCCTTCACCAGGAGTCCTTTCCTGGCGTTCAAGTCATGCTAAAAGGGACTCCGTGTCCTTCCCGGCATGGCACGTCATCACGCTGTGAAACCCCAGGGATATGGAGCAGGGATGGCGGGCTGTGGAAGGGAGGAAACCCATCACACCCTGGCTCATCTCACGTGACTTCCTCTCTCTGGAACTCCTCTGAGCTCCTGTTAGGTCAGTGGGATCAGAGGAGAAAATGGGCCAGGAGAGAGGGTTTGCTGGATGGTTGCCCACCCTTTGGCCTGACCCCAGCCCACAACTTCATTCACCTGGTCAGATAGTGACATCATCCACCTTCCTTCTGGTGCCCAGTATTTAGACCCTGCTGTGGATAAAATTGGGGGGCTCCTGTTGTGTGACTTGGGGAGGCAGGAGGAGATGCAAAGATGAAAGGGCCATGGAGGAAGGCCTGCAGGAGCGTGCAGACTAATAGGAGAGAGAAGCATAGCAAGTGACTGGCTTTCCTCTTCTCAAAAGCATTACAGAGATAAAGAATGCCCGGGAAAACGGAGTGTGGGTGCGGGGCTCACTGGGTTAGTGTTGCCCTCACTGTAGGACTTCCTGAGCCTCCAATATAGGTCTCCCGAGACAGAGGTTCCCCACATGTATTTTCCCAGAAAAGCACCCTCTCCGTGCCTTGGGGTTTGGGCAGCAGTGCCTGCTGTTTAATGGGATGGGACAGCAGGCCTGGTGAGAGCTCCCGGGGATCGGGGAAGTGGCAGGAGCTGGAAGGCAGCGCCGTTTCCTGGAGGCCTCCTGGGTTAGGATCTGCATGCTGTGGGAGGAAGGCCTCCCAGGCAACAGAATTAATTACCAGGGGTCTCAAGCATCACGCTTAATTTCCCTCTTGACTCCTCAGCAAGTTATCCTGCTCAGAGGATTCCCCCCCAGGGAAGAAAACCCTGCCCACACTCTCTTCTTAGGAGTTGAGTTCCCAGACTTCTCTGTCATTACTGTTACTGTGTTTTATAAGCTGCACAAATGGTTAGGGGGCTGATGGGACGTTGGGAATGATTTGTTTCTATGTACACTCATGATGCATACACATGTCTGGAGGAGCACTGTATTTCAATTAACATTTTTTAAAAGCAATATATGCACATAAAGGAAAATATGAGAAATAATTAAAAATGGGATGGGGTAAAGCTATGAACAGACAACTAACACCCATACAGTTCATCCTCAGAGATAAGTATGAACACATTGAAATGTATGTATTTACAAATATTATATACACACAAATATGAATACACATATACATTCACATACACATATGCACGTACTCCTGCACACACACACACATACTGTGTTTGCACACAATGCATGTACATATCCACTTACATATGCACAGATACATATCCATGCACATGCATACATACATGTATATTGTGTGCTCAGACACATATAAATATATATTACACACTAGACGTATGTGTGTATATGTACATATGTTTATGGATGGATGAATTGATAGATGGATGGGTGGAATGATCAATGGATGGATAATGTCGAGAACACATTGCACATACATATTGCAATCCACCTTACAAAATTGTGCAATGAGCTTTAATCCCGTATTTAAGAATTCTTTGTCAATGTTTTCATTTGGCACATTGTCTTAGGCACTGTGACCACCGTCTTAACTAGCCCATCCTCTCTGGAATTGGCCCTTGGCCCTTGATCCCTGCCCAGCTGCCACCTTTCGACCCCTGGCTCCTGGAAGTGTGTGTGTGTGTGTGTGTGTGTGTGTGTGTGTGGTGGGGGTCGGGAGGGGACAGGTGCCCAGCCTTGCTCTGCAGGAAGGAAGGTCTGGATGGGAGGTTCCCGCAATGGTTGGTGTGGATCTGAAAGCCTTTGCCTTGCTCTCTCCTCTCGCCCTGCAGTGCCCGGCTTTCCGTATCCAGCCGCCACCGCCGCGGCCGCCTACCGAGGGGCGCACCTGCGAGGCCGTGGCCGCACCGTGTACAACACCTTTCGGGCCGCGGCGCCCCCACCCCCCATCCCTGCCTACGGAGGGTAAGTGGGCTGCCTCCGGGGCGGGCCTCCCTGCACCGCCCCTCCTGTTTGCGCATGCTGGTCTTGACTGCCCCACCAGAACGCCCAGCATGCAGCCCGGCGCCTGCAGTGGAGCACCTTGCAAAGAGTATTGAAAAATGAGTGTAATTTGTCCTGTCATGGTTGGTGCCTTTAAGCATCCTACATGTCACATGTTGTTATGTAAATTCTCTTTGAGACTGAATGCTGGAGAACAGAGAAATGGTTACAGCCAGAGATGTATTTCTGATGATTGCAAACATCTGGTTATTAAGGAGGTTGGATCACATTGGCCCCTTGAATCTGTCCATGGAGGGACATGAGGCTTTTCACACATAAAAATCACTGGCGTGGTATTGCTCCCCTTCCCTAAGATACCTTGAGCTTCAAAGTTTAGGAGCCCTTGCTGGGAAGAGAAAATTAGGTGTGGAGTCAATGCAAACATTCACAAGTTCAATGAAATTGGAATTAAGACTCGTTTTAGCTGGATTTTCCAAAATGGCATTTGTCTTTGTTCCCCCTCTGCAAAGAAATGCAAGTTCATGTGACCCCCATTGCCAGTTGGGTATTCCTGTCATGGACTTTGGTATCACCAAGAGACTATCCAGGAATGGTGGTGAACGCTCAGGGAAAAAATGGTACTGGTGTGGCAGGCTTCGGCCTTGAGATGCTTCCCTTTCACCTTCCTGTTAAGGGATCCTCCTGGAACATTCCTGCACACTCAGAGCCGGGGAGAGAGGGATGTCTCTGAGGCAGTGATCCTCAGGGGACATTTGTAATATCTGGAGACGTTCTTTGGTTGTCACAGCAGGAGCTGGGAGATGCAATGGCACCCAGTAGGCGGAGGCCAGGGATGCAGTAAACATCCTACAGTGCACAGCGCGGTCCCTCTCCCCATACAGAGAGTCATGGGGTCCTAACTACCAATCATGCTGCTCTAAGGAAAGCTCAGGTATGCCCAGGACAGCCTGGCAGGAGGCTTCCCTGGCCGGTGCCTGGCTTTCTTGTCTATAGAAAGAATATGGCTGTATTCGGGACTATGTGAAAAGGGTTGAACACATTTTTTTTATAGCTCTGTTGCTTAGAAATCTTTTAGAAAATTTGAATCAGCCCAGATCACCTATTATACTGACTGAAATATTTATTCATATCTCACCCACTCCAAAGGACAGCATTTGAAGTGTTTTGAAAACAAATGCAGTGAGACAAAGCTAAGACAATAGAGAAATGAAAGCAGATGAAATTGTCAGGAAGAGGGGGATAAAGGCAGAGAAAGAAGACAAAGTCCATTGTTTCTGGTGTTGTCATTAGAGGGAGGCCAATTCCAAGTTTCTTAGTAGATGAAACACCACCAAAAAAAGAAAAAGAAATTGTGCTGAAAATATGGTGAATAATAAACCAAGGATGAATTGGCCCTAAATTCTCCCCACCCTCCAATATAATGTATCTTCATGTCCTCAGCCTCATGTATTTGACCATGTGATATAAGGCATTACTGACAGTATAATCATTATCTTCAGCCCCCACAGTATTAAGCCTATTTTGTAGATCCAGAAAGGCAGAAGTAAAAACTTGTTATTCCCAAGGTCATATAATGAGTTATGAAGAAAAAAAAACAAAACAAGTTACCCGCTAGGCTCATATGATTACTAAAGCAAGATTCATAAGCCATAAATACAAAATTGCATGTTTATACCCCATTAGTTTGCCTGGAAAACATTATCTTGGTAGCTGGTAATTGTAGCTTTCCGGTATATGTACCCTCAGTATCTCACTACTATATTGAACAGAAAAAAATAAAGTAAAATTATATGGCTTATCCTCACATGAACAATTTATAAAAGTCTCAGAATAACACACCTGCTGTAAAATTGAAATTTGCTAACTTATAATGAACTTGCTCTTTGTGGGGAATAACCATGCATAACTAATTAATGCCATGTTCGCCAGGGAGAGACACAGGCATCTCCAAATGGTGAGGCAATGTGTTTGTGACTGCTTCGGACATGATTTAATTTTAATATCCCAGTGATAGCTCTAATTATTTTGTTTATAATGGTGGATTGTGCCTCTTTGCTGACAATGTTGACTGGAATTCTGAACCCATGTTTAGTAGTAAGGTAAAATTCTTAAGATGGGAGGGATAGAAAGAGCAGAAGGGCTAGGTGTGTGTGTGTGTGTGTGTGTGTGTGTGTGTGTGTCCATGCCTGTAACTTCCATAAGAGCAAAGTGCTGGTGTAAAAGGAGGACATTCAGCCAGTTGCCTGGTGTTTTGCTGGATTACAAATTGGCTGGACAAATTAGCTCTGAATGCAAAGGCATGAACCCAGCATCTTAAATGGTGGCTTCCCTTTTCCTCTGGCTTCTTTGGCTTAAGCTACAGAAGACATCAGAGGGCAGCTCACCTTAGAGAGAAGAGCAGAGATCGCCTGGAGGACAGAGGGCCCTGATCTTGGGTTGAGTGGCAGAGAGGTTGGAAACCCACTACTGTTTCAGGAAGTGACATTGTCGGGATTCAGGTGGTCCAGGAGATAGTGTGGATCTCCTGTAGCTGTTTGCTTCCTTTGGAGGATGAATTCTAGATTTGACTGATGTCTTTGCTATTGTCCAGTTTAGCTCAACACTCCTTTTCTCAGCTGCATGCACTGCCTTGCACTGAGGCCACTGAGGCAAATGGCTCCCTTGGAGGAATTTCTTCCGGTGGGGGGCAAAGGGTGCCATGTAAGCGAACAATTTCAGTAAATGTGGTAAGTAGTAAGGTAGGGTGTTGTGTGAGCACCAAGGAAGGACTTGGATGTTTAGAGAAGCTTCTAAACACCCAAGTGCTAGGAAGAGAAGAGATAGAGGACACATTTATGGCCAATCATTTCCTAAATGTCCACGTTAAGGTCTCAGTCTGTGATTCTCCCTCACACCCAGTGAACCCCATCTTTTCTAAGTTGTTGGCTAGCAAACTGCATTTATTAAGAAAAAATTATTTTCCCCTTATCACTAGTTGAAGACTGATAACCTAAACTCTGTTCTTCATCAAGTATCCAATAGGCATATACTTTGTTATTAAAATTCCAACCAAAAATGTGTCATTTATCCAACATCCATGTATAGTTTCCATATTGTTTTTTCCAAGAGATATAAAACGGTCCCACACAACCTCCATGGCAGCTTTTGTGGAGCCACAGGTGAGCCTTGGAGTATCCAACACCAAGATAGGTATCCAGGAGGGCACACCAAGGAGCCATCCATTTCCTTTTGTTGATTTGGTTCCCCCTCCGCATCCTGACACTTTCTGAAGTCCCTCTCAGCAAGTGAGGAACATAGGTTATGGAGGGGCCCTATTTCTCTTTCTTACATACCTAAATAGAAACATCTTGGGACATTAAAACATGACCAGTCCTTCAGGGTCTAGGGCTACAGAGGCTCTACTTGGACCATGAAGGGATCCTAGAAATGAACGCAAAATCCTGGACTGAGACAGCCAGCCCCCTAGGGATTACCAGAATCCACTGAATGAGAATGAGTGATGAGTTAGAAATCTAGTGTTTACACAGTCTATAAGATTGTTACAGTACTAAAAAATGCTTCTGGGGAAGATGAGATTACCCCCCACCACCACCACAACCATTCTACCTCATACTACCCTGGGTAGCTGACTTAACCTGTATAAGTGAATTGCCTTAACAGGAGAGTGAAGATTGTGTCTGCCTCCATTGAGTTGATAGGGGATGGGATAGGAGATCCATGTAAGGCCACAACTTAGTAGGGAGGGTCCATCATATGATTCGAGTTCAGTGAACTATAGCTAATGTTATTGAGGGAGATGCAGTTACTGCTTCTTTGTCCCTCTCTGTGTTGCACCACTTACTCCTTTGCTAGGAGGCACCTGCAGTTCACAGATTGGCATTCCCCACAAGCCACAGAGATGGCTTTGATTTGCAAAGATCACTTCAATAGTTTGTGGAATATGTAGATTGTACATAAAATATTAACTAGTGAATAGTCTCCACAAGAGCTGAATGAAGCAAGTTTTCCATATTTCCCCTTGCATTTGATCCTGGGGTTAATTTTGCTAGAGACGCCCTAATGTCAGTCTGTCTTTCTGTGACTTATAGCTGGGAGAAATTACCTGTTGGGTAATTACCGTCAGTGGAGCTTGCAGACTGATGGTTTGTGGATGAAGATGGAAGGTCGCCCCTCAGTACTTTCTCAGATTTTAGATGACAGCACCTAAACCCCATTCACTCCCAAAGGAATCTCATGAGATTGGCTTCACCCCATTCCTGTTCTTAAGTAGTTAAGTAATTATAAACCAGCTACTTATGAAGCACCTACTATGTACCATGCATATTGTATGGGGCTAAAGAAGAGTGCTCTAATGGAGTATCATGGGAGATTTTTAAAATTATTCCAGTCCAAGCATCAGCATCTGCTATAGGGTTTTGGCATTGGTTGGCTGGATATCTGTGAGTGTGATATTCTGCACTTTCTCAGATAATTAATTACGACACATCTATGTGCAACTTCTCAGAGTTAGCTTAAGAAGTATTTTGAGGAGATTCAGTGCTGCTATGGGTATAGGACAGATATGGTAGTATCCCAGGAGAGCCCTTCTGAAAGGTAGCTAGTGCAAGAATCAACCCATATATACCTTTTTTGAGAATGCTTTCGGATCCTAGAATTTAGGTTCTAAAACCTTGGATAACCAGCCTCTAGGACTGTGTATGCACATTTCTGTCTGTAAATCAACCATGCTTTTTGGTTTTCATTTTTAAATGTCTACTCCTCAGACTATAGTAACTGATACTTAGGCACTTTCCAATTTAATATAAACACTAGAACTAAAGTTATTACTACCCATTCTCAAATATTTTCCAGGATTCTGTCCAGCTTTTTGTTTTTGGTATCAATTCTTATTCAAATTCTCAGCCAGTTTTGAAGTGTAACCTCTAATATTTTTAAAAATCCTCTTAATTGAGTGCATTTAT